TACATTCAGTTATTATATATTAATCATTTTTGAAGCTGAACATAACTTACAGAAAAAATGCACTTTCATAATATACACAATGTTCTATTCATTATTCAAAACTATCTAAGCTTTCAAATTTTCTTCTATTTTTTAAAAAGCAAGTATCATCCTATCCAGTCCTTAATTCTTATTGATGTTTAAAGGCAAAAAAAGTACATAAAAATGCTCATCTAACACTGAACCTCAGCAATGCAAAGAAAATAATAATAATATGTTTATGTTTATCTTCTTGATCAATATAATGGAAAACATGATAATGTTGAATGCTTCTACTTTAGTTGCTGAAGTTATCCAGGTAATCCATGACTTATGACTGGTCCCTTAGCAACTGTTCAAAGTTCTGACAGACCCCAAAGGCATTTATGAAATGGTTTTGAAGTTCTGATGTCCACACAATATGTGATTACATTTTGGGTTCTCAGCAACTGCCCTGTTTTTATGGTCATTTGCAATGTTATTGCCAATTTCTGACAAAACCCACCCCATAGCAACTTAATGTTTGCGGCGTCTGCTTAATGACTGTGGCAGTTGCTTAAAGATCACAAAAAAAGTTATAAAATTGGGTTTGGTCATATGGCGACCCACTTTATGACCATCACAACTTATGACCGAAGTTGTGGGTGCCCTTCATGGATGTAAGCCAGGGGCTACCTGTAAATTACCTTAAACTAGGAAGGAAAATCACATTAAAATACGCAATAACAATATAAGTATAATAATATAAACATTATTTGGTTTTATATACTTATAAAGTATCAATAACATCTACATAATTTTTTAATATTCTACAGAGCATATAAATACAGCAGACATTTCTCCATATCAGAAACTTTACTTGTAACAAAAGAACTTTGTTGCATCACTTTAAAGTGAGTGATATTTGAGGAGGAGGAATTTAAAGGTTAAATTACTACAAAACTAACTTACAAAAACGCATTGAAACTCTGTTAGGGAAACTTATAATCATGTACACATCTACATTCTCATTGTTTTAAACTGAAGTAGCTTGTTCACCTACATTCTTTTTAAAAATGGGCCATTTCAAAAGAAGGAAACAGTGACATTTAAATATTGGTTATAAAATCTGACTATATACACACCATCTTGAACACTTTTCTTTCAAAAATATATCTCTAACTCTAATTCCTTTAGATAAAAAATTGTTCTGAAAAGATTTATCACCAAATTTTGTGCTTGACAGATTTCAGGTTTCACAAGAGTATCAGGCAGTGCATGTAAAACATGGATTGCTAATCTCTGCTTTGAATGATTTTGCATTCATTAAATAGTGATCCACCCAATGAAGTATAAATTAATGACAGCCAGTTGAGTTTACCTTTCTCATATATGTATTGTGTAACAAAAGTCTGGATTAATAGGTTAGGATAATGACTGCAAGGATCAACTTTGAGTCTCTTAAAAAAACCTCAGTTAAAGGATCGCCGAGAGACTATGTTAATAATCTGCAGTTAGATAGTTTTGATGTATGAAAAGTATATTTAATAACAAGGGAACAAATTATCCTACAGAAATATTATGCAAGATAAAATACACAGTCTTGATACATGAAATGTTTTTCTTACTAGGTGGAAGTTACCGAAATTAAAGCAGAAATAAAACTAATAATTTTATTCACTTATGAAAAAAAACTACATGTAAGGTTCCATTTCAATATAAATTCCTAGCACAAAATACGAACAAATGATACCAGAAGATCAACTGACTCTTGTATTGTTTCTTTCTGCTTTCAGTTCTGCAATTTCCTCTTCCCTTTCAAGGAGTTGCTCTCTGCATATGTTAAGCTCTTTAGTAAGTGCTGCAAACTCCTGAAAAATATAAGCAAATAATTATAAACATTTACTGCAATGTGCATTATATACAGCAATATATTATAGATAACTGACTGAAGTTATACTAAAATAAAATACTATGCAGGATATCTTAATATCACTTCTAGCAATCATGATTATTCTTTATAGAGCAGTATTCAACCCTAGCCATTCTATTTCATCCAAGCTTTCTATTTCTAATATTTGAATGAAAATCACCAGGGAATCCCCTAGTTGAAAGTAAGTAAGGTAGACACTTCTGATAAATGTCAAGAAAACAACATAGTTCTGTTTATGTTATTACCTGGAGACCATCTCAACTCAAGGACAGGTTTATATTTTTAAAGAATAAAGAATAGTAATGCTAATATTATTATTCTAAATATGTAAACTGAATTCTATTATATGATGTTGGATCATTCTGGCATACACAAATATTACAACTTTGAATTTTATTACATCTTCGAACTTAATTACTTGTTCTATCTACTGTACAAGACTCAGCTCGTTTTCTGTTTTAAAACAGGGTATGATTTCTGAACAAATTGTGCCAGAAATTACAAAGTTAGTAAATAGAAATTACACATCTTCTCACACAAATTGAAGAGGAAACAGGAACTGTATGTCAATGAGAAAATTTTCCCATAAAAAAATCAGATACAAGCGTTCATTGGATCACACTCATCCAATGAATGGTTGAAGCCAAGATAAAATAAATTTGATGATAAATGAACTCAGGCAGAACAATCCATTTGTGAAATAGTTAGCAAAACTAAACTTGATATCTCTTATAGGAGATTCTCCCCAAAATATTGCATGCTTTTAGCCTGCTACCTTTTTGATATTAACTAAATCATTAGTTACTACTTTCGCTGTGTAGAACTACAGAGTGGTTTATGACTAAGTCCAGCTTTATGACTTAAAATGGGTAAAACATTTAGAATAAAAACAGCTTCAGAGAAACAAGCCTCTTATCTAGTTTTCTACAATATTTGAGTAAAATTAATTTATTAATTACTTTTGAAAGTAATCTATCTGGCTCAATGAATTCTAGTTTTGCATAAATAGAAGTTTAAACTGCCACCACCTAAACAAGAAATAACATTAACTAAAACATACCGGTAATTCATTTGACTGTCACAATATCCAGTAAGATGCAACAGTATTGCATAACATACAATTTTTCTTCTACCCAAAATGCATATTCAATTTATCCAAACAGCCATAATCCTCATGATGACAAAAATAACAATCTATTTTCATTCTTAAGCAAAGGTGTCTATAAACTTCACATTTATTATTATGTAATTTTAGTTCCATGGTTGTCATCAGAGTACTGTAACATACATGCAAGTCTATTTACATATTTTCAGTTTAAACTGAGATGTTTAACTTTGAAGTACTGTAACTGCAGATTTTTTTCTGCGAAATATAATAGCTATGCTTATACAAATAAAGAGATCTGTAAATACAAGTATTTCCTAATAAAATATATTTATGATGTAAGATAATATTCTTCTAAATATTTGCTTAGAATGTATAGAATGAACTTAGGCAAGTATATTAAAATGTAATTACAGAGCTAATTTTAGCAAAAAGTGAACTTAGTATCTAACTAACATTTATGAAATCTACATAAAACATGTCATTAATGCTTTTAACAAATGAATTTAGAACTACTGATATTTCAGTAAGTTCCTCCAAAAAGTAGGAGTCTTTCAAGATAAAATATTTTCCCTTTATTAAAATAACTTTTATTAAGCATTATATATGAACAGAATAAAAATAAATACAAACTACAAAATGTAAAGAAAACTGCAAGAAAAAGGAAGAAAAGGGAGTGGGAAAAAGAAAGGAAACAAGAAAAGCGAGAGCAAAAAAGTAACTTCCTCTATCACCAGCAGATAAAAACTATTTTAGCAGTATATCATTATTTCTAAAGAAAACTTCTCCCTTCACCTCATTTCTTAGGTAAAGAAAACCAAGTCTGCATCAATAAATATTTGTCAGCCGAAATCTAATTAGGACAATCAGATCTTTTTAATTCTGGTCAAACAAGTCAATCTTAGAAACCTTTCCTGAGTTTTTGGCTCTAGTGTCTAGTTTAAGATCTCATTATAAAAAACAAAATCAAATCAGAGTAATCTCCTTTTTCCCATTAGAAAAATATCTTCCAAATAATTCAAAACTATAATTCCAAATCCCAGCCTCCTTAATCTGCTATCAACTTTCCAAAATCCACATATCATTTTGTAGCACCATTTTGCTGCCTAGTCCAAGCAATCATATATTTTAAAATTTAAAATTAAAATTTATATTTAACTCAAATTTACTCCATCATCTTTTAAGGAGGTAGAAACTCACCAGATGAACATAGTAAAATTTTGCCAGTTTGAAGGACCTTAAATCTCTCCAATATACAAAAAATTAAAAGAGAATCAAAGATTTGATTAAAATATAAGACATGGTTGAACTTAATGTAAAGGTTGCTTTGCAAACATGAGCTTGATGTAAACCTGTCTCCAGCCACTCTAAATATAAGCTGATTGTGAAGGCAGTTTCTGCAGTCTACTCACAAGGAGCAGCTATCTGGAGTCACATGATCTCAAGGAATTCTCCTTTGTTACAGAGAATTACACCAGCTTGGATCCAGTATCCAGTCACAATTCCCCTTACAAAAGCTGTCTTGCTAGCCAGCAAAAGTCAGCAAGACATCGGTTCACTGTGAAGCTCAAATGAAGTACCTGATCCAAATATTATCCCAATACAAAAACTTGGTATAAATTACTGGAAAACTATACTACTTCTACATGAATGAGTTTAAATAAACTTCCCACCGTCTTGTGACGCCATATTGGAGACAGTAATCTGTCTGAGAGTACTACTTAGATTTACACCAGATGCATGTCTACAACTTGCAGATGCTTTACATATTTTTCTTCAATTAAACTTCTGACTTTACCCTTAGAGACAAAAATAAACACATCTCAAACTATTCTCAGAATATAGGAATACAGCTTGTAAGTGTCTATATATACATATTCAGGGATTTAGAAAGGGGTAGCAAATAATGCTATTGATCAGAATATTAAATATAGTTTGGATAATTCCAGAAAATATTATATGTTCAAACAATCTTTCCCACATTTTCCAGCCACACACTTTATATTCTATGCTTACAAATTTTTGTGTCACTTTTCAGTCTGCATTCCTTCACTATCATAGTATTATGCCCAAAATATTTCACTACAGTATTTTTAAAGACACTGGCACTGAAAGTATTCATTAATGTAATTCTTCTTGGATTGACTTTACTGTATTCTTTTTTTACCAGTTGCTTTTATGTTCTTTACTTTATGGATCATCTGGAGTCAGGTGAATTGAGCAAAATAAATCAATTAATAAGCTGTCAAGGGAAATCCAACTATGATTTATACAGTAACAATTATTTCCATTTTAGATATTTTCAAAATAGTCAATCCCATCTCCCAATTCCAGAAAATCTAATATTGAAGTTTCTGACACATCATAGTTTCTGACAGCAGCATAGGATAGAGATATTTTTGCTGAACAATCTTACTTTCCTCTTAAGTACATTGGACCCAAGTGAAACTAATGTAGTATCATTGTTCTACAACACCTCTCCCTGAATGGCCAGAAATTGCCTATTACATTTACGGTTTCTTCAACATGGATAAATAAGACTTCATTAGTTTCGTTATGATAGAATGAATATGTGCCCATGCACACAAACATCCACACGGCACTGCTTGGTTTGTTTCATGACCTGAGTAAAGCAGGTGATAGTGAGGATCAAAAGGCTCACTCTTATCCCTCCATGTAAGGTTCAATGTAAATTTTTCTTCCTTATGACATGTAATTTTTCATGCCTAGGTATTATCCACAATGAGCAATTGAGAAAAAAATATAGAGAAAACATTTTATGGACGTGTGAAAGATCAGTTTTTTACTATTTCCCTTTCAGTCCTTCCAAACACCTGAGAATTTTATTAAGTTCATGAATTCTGTCACATGTGAGAAGTTCCCAGTCAAAATTTAAAAACATTTTATTGCTAGGAAAATAAAATAGATTACAATTCCATGTTCACCTCTTTCTGGGAATACAGAAACAGGTGATTACAAATGGTTTAGCTCCTTTCTGTCTGCTGCTCCCTCCAGAAATTCAAGCTCTAATCCTTATTTAGGAATGAAATACACTAATCTACTTATACCATGTGTGGGAAACCCAAGAGAGTTTGTTTTAATACAGTTTAGAATACAAATATAATAAGTTCATTATTATTTTAAGTGTTTTATGTAATGATTAAAAATTCTGAACAAACAGATTGCCTGGATAGCAGTTAATATTTTTATAATCTTGTAAATATTATACTTATGTATGGTGATTTTGCTGTCATCATATTTATATCTATAAAATACTTGACTATTTGACTAAAAGGGGGGGGGGAATAACCAGCTGATCAAGAGAAGGATACATGTATCTCTTGACAGTCATGGGTAACTGCCACTTTAAATTAAGGGAAAGCTTGATTTCCCTTTTTAAACCAAGAATTAGAGTATCAAACTTGTTATGGTGCTGTGTAACTTTATAATGAATGCCTTTATGGATTTTGTCTCCATATGCAATAATGTCTAAAAGAAGTATATGGCAATAGCTTCTTTTTCAGCAACTGCAATTACTATTTTTTCTAATGCATCCCTCCTAGGCTAATTTATCTAAAAAGAAAATTTAGCAGTATTTTATATGAAAGTTCTTGTGCATTTAAAGTTGGCAATAGTAGTGTAATATTCTGTTACCTTTTTAAAAGGCATTTATCTGCAGTATTTGAGGAGGAAGAGGAAAAGCATTTCTCTAAATCACCTTTTTTTAAAATGCGTAATGCAAAGTACCGTGTTTCCCTGAAAATACGACAGGGTCTTATATTTTTTTGACCCACGAAATATGGCCTTGGGCTTATTAAAGAGGAGGGCTTATT